TTATCCACCGCTGCGGGGCCGCTCCGAGCCCCTTGCATGTTCAAGGAGCTCCCGGCCCCGCAGCGGCCCCGCACCGCCCCGGGGGAGCGAGGAGGTGTGGGGGGGAAACCCTTAAAAAAAAAGAAAAACACCCAAAAAAAGCAACAAAAAAGGTCAGACGGAAGGAGTGGAAGGTGATCTCACACTCACACACACACACAGAGAGCAGCTCCGCTGAGGCGCGGGTTTCACCGATGCGGTCTGTGCGGGGCCGTGCGTGGCCGTGCGGGGCCGGGGCCGTGCGGGAGCATCCCTCTGGTTTGCGGGCTGTGGGCGCAGAGCACATCCCGCACAGCACTCTGTGCGTGTGCCTGTGTGTCTCACGTGGATGTTTGTGCCATATAGATATGCGTGTGTGTCTATAGATACGCGTGTGTGTCTATATATACGCGTGTGCGCATATATATGTGCGGGGGTAAATCCGAGACCTTCCCCCGCCGCACCCCGGCTCGGTGGGGAGACCCCCCCTGGGCCAAACACGTGTCTCTCTCACACTCACACTCACACACACAGAGGCACGGGGCTCGCTGGGTTCCTTTCCCAGGAGGCTGAGGCCGAAGGTCTCCGGCTCTTCCTCACCGCCGGAGCGAAGCACCCGCGGGGTCCTTCTCCCGGGTGGGCTGTTGGGGAGGTGTGGGGGGGGGGCTGTTTGTGGCTTCTTTTTTTAAATTTTATTTTATTTTTAAATTTTTTTTCTACCGGTTTGGGGCCGCCCTCCGCTCCCGACGGCGGCTCCTCCCGCAACTCCGGGGACTTCGCCCCGCAGGGTTTTACCTGCCCGGGCTGGGCTCAGGCCCCGCTTCTTCCCCAGGCTGGGGGGGGGTGAGGGGGGGGTGACCCGTCCCCACCTCGGTCCCGCTGCCCGTCCTCCCACGGGGGACCGGAGAGAAGCCCTTGGGGTCTCCCGGTTGTCACCCCGCCGTCGCCGGGGCTGCGCCGTGGCCGGGCGGGGGGTCGCGGGGCGGAGGGTCGGGCCGGTGTCGTCGTCGTGTGTCCCCCCCCCTCCCAAAAAAAAAAGGACAGGCACAAACCCGCCCTCCGCGTCCGTCCCCCGCTTTGGCTCCCTCCCTGGAGCGACCCGCGTAACCCCCCGCGCCCCCCATCAGGGCAGGCCGGGGGGGCAGCCCCAAGGGCAGAAAGTGAGCAAACC